ATAATATGAATAGATTTTTATTTTCAACACTTACAAATGTTTTATATTTTCGCCGGCTCGCGACGCGTCCGTCCACTGCTCACGCAAATATTTATGCATTTAATTAAATTTGGTAGACCGCTGGTCAGTCCTGTGGGCCCAAGGACAACTCAGTTTTGCAAATACGTCATCATGACGTCACATTTCAGATCAGCTGGGGCTCAAGCTGGAAATTTCTGAGGCTCATAATTTCAAAAATCTTATTTTCATAAATTATTGCAGGGCCAGGTATTCTATCTCCAAACCCAACATGGCCCACAAGCATACATCATGACCAAAGGTGCATATGGGGTTCCTGTGGCAGTACCTGCTATGCTAACAGGCCAGGCTCAAATGCCTGCTGGTGCAAATGGGGTTCCTGTGGCAGTTCCTGGTATGGTACCAGGCCAGGCTCAAATGCCTGCTGGTGCAAATGGGGTCCCTGTGGCAGTTCCTGGTATGGTACCAGGACAGGCCCAAATGTCTGCTCCACCTGGCGCACAGGTGAGTTAAATGCCTATTTTCCCATTTCAGAGTCTGATTGCTCATTTGAAATTTATTTAGAATCCATAAATTTTAATAAATGCACTTCGGCCAGGTAACACATATGCAAAAATATAGTGGAAACTCGCGATATACTAAGTGAGCTGTATCGGTGTTTCTAAATAAACAGTTGTGTAAAAAGATAAATTTAACACCGTAAAAAATTAAGGGAAATAACTTACTGACGTTTTGGACATTAATCCTTCGTCTCTTTACCGCCAACGAAGGATTAACGTCCGAAACGTCAGTAAGTTATTAGAATCCCTTACTTTTTTACGGTGTTAAATTTATCTTTTTATACAACTGCAAAAATATAGTACATGGGAGTGTCCAAATTGCTTATTAGCTATAAGTGAAGTGTCCAAACATAAGCTGTCATGGGTGTCTCAGTTGCTCCTGTCCTTGTGATAACTGAAGGACGACAATTATAGTCATAGAAAAAACAATAGCAGCGGCAGATCCAGAAATTTCAAAAGGGAGGTAAATGTATAGATTATGTGCGCRTTAAGGTCTCACCAATATGTGGGCTTTTTAACAATTAAAATTGTCTAGTGTACATATTAATAATTCCAATATGATAGTCATAGAAAGCATGTTTGATTTAGTTTTATCATGATATAAATTATGATAAAATGACAAAACATAGACAAATAAATCAGAAATTTTCCAAAATTAATAAGGTGTGGGGAAAGGGCAACCACCCTCTTTGCCCTTGGGTGGTGGTGGGCCGCTGGGACATCAAAACCCTGATCCTGTTCCAGAGTAAAATCGCTGAAAACGATATCCTGTTCCATACCAGAGAAAATCCAGCACTAGCTTGCGTGTAGGCCGAATTTTTACCCCGTGAATTTTTACCCAGCATCAATTATTCTGGAATTAAACCCTGACCCTGTTCCAGAGAAAATTTCGTTAAAATCGATACCCTGTTCCAGAGTAAAATCGCTAAAAACGATACCCAGTTCCAGAGTAAAATCGCTGAAAACGATACCCTGGTTGGCGGCACGTCCCCGGATAGCGAATATAGGCGAGTACCACCCCCTGCCCCCCTCCCTCCCCCGGGCCTCTTTGGATCTGCCCTTCTAGAGGGTGTCATCTCAAAACCCCAGACTCATGTTCAGCAAAGTCGGGATTAATTGCTATTATGATATATTCCATTTTAGGCCATACAGCCATCACATGCACAGGCTATAAGAGTTGATATACCTCCAGTTAACCAAGGATATACTGTGGCTACAGAGGGTGGTGTTCAAGGGGGTGGTAATCATGATGCCCAAGCACCTCCTCTTCAAACTAAAAGCAGAGACATGCCTCCTGTTTACCAACCATGATTTGATGTATGCAGTTTATACTGTAGTTGCTCTCTAATATTTAGGAACTGCATGAGCCAAGCTCAATAAATTTAGTATAGGAAATACCACCATTCGAGAAAAATTAATGAAAAATACCGCGCATATTTGATGAAAGCGAGAAAGCACGAGAAACAAGAAAACAGAAGCTTGTTGTGAATCCGAAATTTATACAACAATAAAAAAATTAAGAAATTNCAGAAATTTTCCAAAATTAATAAGGTGTGGGGAAAGGGCAACCACCCTCTTTGCCCTTGGGTGGTGGTGGGCCGCTGGGACATCAAAACCCTGATCCTGTTCCAGAGTAAAATCGCTGAAAACGATATCCTGTTCCATACCAGAGAAAATCCAGCACTAGCTTGCGTGTAGGCCGAATTTTTACCCCGTGAATTTTTACCCAGCATCAATTATTCTGGAATTAAACCCTGACCCTGTTCCAGAGAAAATTCGTTGAAATCGATAGCCTGTTCCAGAGTGAAATCGCTAAAAACGATACCCAGTTCCAGAGTAAAATCGCTGAAAACGATACCCTGGTTGGCGGCACGTCCCCGGATAGCGAATGTCACCCCATGTCACACTTCAGACTCATGTTCAGCAAAGTCGGGATTAATTGCTATTATGATATAATAATTCCATTTTAGGCAATACAGCCATCACATGCACAGGCTATAAGAGTTGATATGCCTCCAGTTAACCAAGGATATACTGTGGCTACAGAGGGTGGTGTTCAAGGGAGTGGTAATCATGATGCCCAAGCACCTCCTCTTCAAACTAAAAGCACAGACATGCCTCCTGTTTACCAACCATGATTTGATGTATGCAGTTTATACTGTAGTTACTCCCTATAAATATTTAGGAACTGCATGAGCCAAGCTCAATAAATCTAGTATAGGAAATACCACCGTTCGAGAAAAATAAATGAAAAATACCGCGCATATTTGATGAAAGTGAGAACTTGTTGTGAATCCGAAATTTATACAACAATAAAAAATATTAAGAAATTAAGAAGAATTAAAGTCGAACTGTATGAATTTGCAATGTTTATTATCCGATTTGGTTATTGTGCAGCGCTTGAATATTGTTGACACTATCGGCTTACGTCATATTGACCCATATCTTTTATTATAAAATGTTTTATATATATAACGCACTCGAGAAGCAAGAAGCTTGCTTCTCTCGTGTTTATATCAGAGGACAGGACACTCGCCATTTTTATATTTCAATAGATACGCGATTTTGTAACAATTATGCGTTCGACATAAATAATACCACGAGTGCTAAGCACGAGTGACAGTATTACTCACTTTCATCACATACAAGCGGTATTTTTCATTAAATTTTCGAGAACAAAGGTAGTATTTCCTTTTAGTATCATACCTACATAAAATATTCGATTCTATCGCATCTAGGTGCCAATCATGATAGCGAAAAAATATCGCGCGTTGATCATTCGGTAACACTTTTGAGATAGATTCGTGCAATTTATAAATATAGATAGCACATTAATTAATTGCACGAATTGAGAAAAGATTCACGGTTCGTCAGCCGATATCAAGTTTTTAACATTTTATATCTAAATTTTAGTTAAAGTAGCACTTTTTATGGGTGTGTTTTGCGTACCGTATGAACGTATGAAGATAAAGTGTTCTGCTAGTCAGTTTGTTAGTTGTAAATTTTCTTGTAAAATATGTTTTTTTTGTATGACAGTGCGCGAATCGAAAACCCGTGACCGCCTAGAAATATTTCGGAACGTGAACTTGAAAAGTGATTACAGCTGACAAACAAGAAAACATGATAAAAACATAAATGAGCAAACTTTGTGTTTATTCTGAGCAACGATATTGTATTAATCAGTGAGCTTTTTCAGAATGTTTTTTTTGGCAATAAACTAGTTATATTTATTTGCATTAAACGTTGAAGTTTTGATTAAATTTGCACGTGAAAGTGCACTTAGATGATGGTTGATCTCGCTTCTGATTGGTCAATGAACAAACATTCCCAAAATATTTCTAGGTGTTCATGACTTTTCGATTCGCACTTTTAAAAAGAGTTATAAATACATAGTAACTTAACTTATATTATAGTATATATTATTTAGGATCTGCAGGTCAGAAAATATGTTCTAATAAACCAAATAATGATTGCATTATGTACTTATTAACCTGGTTCGTTGGTATAGACCTAATCGGCTACAATCCAATTCAAACCACCCGGGAGTAAGTTTCATTGTTCGTTGTATTTTCATTTCACAGTTGAATTCTTAGAAACAAAAGTTCTTTTTCTCACAGGATTTGAATTGGCTGGCAATGAACATAGCAACGCCGTTAGCCGATTAGGTCTATTGGGCAGTTCATTTGCTCTGAAAATCAGATCTTGTTTTCTCGAATAATTAGAAAAAAAATATACCGGGAATGCAATTCAAGATGTGGGATGCTGTGCCGAAGTGGCTGTTTTGATATAATGAAATAAGGTGGCCTGGAAGTTACGAAGCTGCTAGCGTAACTCCAGCGGAGATTTCCTCCGGGTTTCACCTTGAAGTTGTGGTCACTTCAAGGGCGGATTCAGGGATGGGCAAAGGGAGGATGTAGCCCCTCCTTTGAGATAAAACGTAAACGTTTTTTTATTATTTTCAATGTTGTTTATAACAAATAAAGCTCATTTAGCCCCCCTTAAAATTATTGAGCCATCCCTTAAAATTTCAGCTGGATCCGCCCTTGTGCTTGGTATTTTGACATCGCTCAAATCACTCCTGTGTGTTTAGAACATTGTCTTCGGTATTGCAGATACTTCGATGTACAAATAGAAAGACATGCTTTTCAAACAAAAACTCTTCTGTTGATATGGATGGGTGTAATTTGGATTAGATTGGATTGGTCTAATTTGTCGATTTTCTCAGATACGTCTCCATCTTTAAAAGTCTAAGGGGTTAAATTTACCCAGCCGTCATAGCGAGGACTACGACACCACGGACAGCGGTTGCAGTGCGCTTCTCAGATATATCTCATTCTTTAAAGTCTAAGGGGATAATATACCCAGTCGTCATAGAAAGTACTGCGGCACAACGGACCGCGTGGTGGCAAAGTTACGCAGGACTTTTTTTCCTTAAAACGGAAATTTCATTAGCTATGGGCCTTTGCGATGACCGCGGACCGCGGTCCAACAAAATTCAATCGAATGCTTTCAGAGTGATGGGGTATATATTTCTAAAGTCGCTCCATTTCGCCTGCAACATCGCATGCAATATGCATGCCTAATAAAGTTATCTACAGCATGGCTAAGGCTTAATATCCCACGGCATTTTGTAAGGACGACTTTCCAGGTTGCAAGCGATAGTTGTGCAAACGTTGTGTCGTCCTACATCTGCGATATAGTCTTTCAATGCCCTGGGAGCGAGAGCTGTTTTCAAGAGGAGTTGTCGGTGCATATAATTGTCAACTTACCTGTATAAGGAACTAGATTCCAGCGGTTTTATAATTTTGGTTTCTTGGCCTAACTTCGTCATGGGTTTCAGCTTTAAGTACACTCGCTATTCTGCCATCGCTCAAATCACATTGGGAGTTTTGAGCATTGCGTTTGGTATCGCTGACAGAGCTGTGGACTATAAAATGAATTCATTTCATTCAGTCTCCCTGATGCCAATATGGATGGGTGTTTGGGTAAGATCTAATATTTACACTCTTTTGTCGATTTTCAATGACGGGAATTAGCCGTGATTTTAATTTTAGCTTTGACTTACATTCAGTTTTATACGATTCAAGAAGTCGTACTTTCCGATCGATTTTTCGATTTGTCGCTCAAACTTACCAGACATAGGCAACAAACTGCAACGACTGCTCGAAGTGAAATTCGCATCGAGTATAGACGTCGGAATATTTGTATTAAATCGTATTTAGACTATTTATATTTTATTAGAAAGGTGTAATCATCTATGCCAATGTTTGAACAAACGTTTTCAAGGTGTGAGAAAAATATTGGTTCAGACAGTTACGCATCAGCTGTCTGGAAATCTGAAACAAGAACTTGCTGTGAATCCTAAATTACAACAATATCTATTCGACTCATTTATAAAAGCTATGAAGAGTTTTAAAAATAAATAAAGTTAGATTGTAATTAAATAGAAGTCGAACAGTTTGAGTTTGCAGTATTTATTATTCGATTTGGTTGACACTATCGCTTACGTCATATAACTATAATTCGCTCAAATTAAATCAGACATATCTTGGTCTGGCTCGAAATATCAAACCTATTCGTATTTTGTATATCGATAAATGAGGTATGATCACGTAACAATCGCTGCTAAATATTTTATTTTTCGCGATTGCAAGAAATTCGCTACTATCGGGTAGACACTAATGGACATTTGCGTGACAAATGCTCGATTGCTAAAAATAGCACTCAAAATAGATACATCATTAAAGGGACACTGTCAATGGCACGCATGCGCGAGTAAACTTGAAAACATTAGGCCATACTCGTCCCCAGTGCACCTCGGTCGTCCCTTCTCCCTTCGTTAGCACTGGTAACAGCCGTTTGAGGCTCGATGCTGATTGGCTAGAAAGTTCGAGCATGCGCGATTTTCGCCGTACATTCAACCGTCTCTCCTCGCTCTTGATTGGTCGATTTATAAGGATGCTCGGAGCTTTTTAGATGGAAACCTAGTGCGCATAAAGCCAAATAAACAAAGCTGACCTTTTCCTAACGGGCTCAGGTCGAATTTCAAAATGGCGGATGAGTNTAGTCGGTAATTTGGCTTTGAACAGCTTCAGACTACACACTCATTCGCCATTTTGAAATTCGACCTGAGMCCGTTAGGAAAAGGTCAGCTTTGTTTATTTGGCTTTATGCGCACTAGGTTTCYATCTAAAAAGCTCCGAGCATCCTTATAAATCGACCAATCAAGAGCGAGGAGAGACGGTTGAATGTACGGCGAAAATCGCGCATGCTCAAACTTTCTAGCCAATCAGCATCGAGCCTCAAACGGCTGTTACCAGTGCTAACGAAGGGAGAAGGGACGACCGAGGTGCACTGGGGACGAGTATGACATTAGGCTAGTGTTTTCAAGTTTATGACTCCAAATTGACGCGACATAAATCAGCTCGTAAACGTAAACAGATCTAGAATATTCCAAAGTGTGTCAAAAGCACCACAAAATGATTTACCTCGAAGGTAATACTTTCAAAGKCCGTTAGAGGYRRGACTGTTACTGCGCATGTCATCCATTGACAGTGCCCCTTTAAGGCTGATTTACACGGCACGATTGTCTCGTGCGATTTGTAGTATACGACTTGAATCACGCAGTGTAAATGCCCCTACAGTACGTCTTGTCTACAACAATCGTACGCAACCTACGACTTGTAGTAGGTTTTTGAACCACTGCTTAAAATCCTACGACTTGTAGTGGCTATCGTAACTCCTTAGTTTATACGATTTTTATTGTTCTCAATTCGAAATTCAAAATGGCGGCCGGTAAGTTAATCAACCAATCAGAATGTTCGAGTGAATCACTCGACCAATCAGAAATTTACCGGCCGCCATTTTGAATTTCGAATCGAGAACAAGGTCTAACAGACTTCGTGCCCAGGGGTATTTTTTCTGGAAGTGAGGAACGAACGACAGAAGATAACCCCTGGGTTCCCGAGGATGAATTTTAACAACATTACTCTATGTATTTTTCTTTTCTTTAGTTTGTCATCACTGGAGTGATTGGTGTGCATGGAAGTAAGCGCAACAATGCTAGGGATGGAAGAGCACCAAGGCCATTGGTAAATCAAGTCAAAATTACTATTTAAATCAGGGGATGACAAATCTGGTGGATTGCAATGGCCGGTTATAAGATATGTCCGCATATAGACCATATGAAAAAGGGCGTGACTATCGTAGCTCCTCAGTTTATACGATTTTTATTGTATCATTGCTACCCGTTGAAAGAACACATCACAATGAATAAGATCTGAAAGTTTCAATGCTCTAACATTTAAGGACCAGAAATTACAGGTGTTTGAAGTTGCAAAGGTTTGAGTGAAAATGAGTATCGAGGCCTGACCAGCCTCGTTTTCACGTTTTTGTTACATTTCAAATGATTGTAACTCTGCTGATATTCAACATACTAGTTGAGATATACTCCTTCATATGGTGAAAACAGATGTTTAAATATATGAAGCGTTTAATGTGCTCATTCCCAGTCCTCTGCTCGTTTTTCATATGGTCAATAGCTTGATGACCAGTCAAAGCATAATTCAGCTTAAAACATTAAATTATAAATTAAAAAAAAAAAAACAAAAATAAACTTTTGATCATATCTCAGTGACAGTGGAGCAATGAAGCCCCCACTCCCACTCCCACTCCCACTCCCACTCCCACTCCCACTCCCACTCCCACTCCCACTCCCACTCCCACTCCCACTCCCACTCCCACTCCACCAATATGCATTAATTGCTGAATTTATTTATTACTTATATTTTTTGTATTATTTATTTCTAGATTGGTGCCTACCTTGGTTTTAGCATTACCTCTACTGTTTTTGCATTGATCATCATTGCCATCTATAGCATTGGTGTGGCAAATATGAATTCCTGTCGTAAACAATGGATATATGATTATGAAAGATCTAATCAAACACACAATAGGTATGGGTATATACTAGTACAGCCACCCAAGGAATGCAATGTAAGAGTTGCTCTGGGGTCACTGGTCATCACCTTTGCCGCTTTTGAGCTCTTTGGTGGTATCTTGGCCTCTGTTTGTGCTTGCACCAATGGATGCTGCACTTGTCCTACTGCACGGCGATCCCAACAGCCCACACAGCTGGTATGTTTCAAGCTCGGGGGCGGGGACTCCTTATAAACGTTGGTAGGCGGACCTTTTAGAGTCGAAAATAAAACCCTCGTGTACCTTTTAGGGTCCTGAGCTGAACTCCGCACCTTTCGAACATCGAAAACAAAAATGGAAAGAAATGTTATAAAGAAATAGATTTTATTAACCTCAACAACCATCGAAATTGATTTCTAAAGTTTGTTAAACTTGAGCTTTTCTCTTGTTAAAGATGTCAAGAATGGTCGCACCTTTTAGGGTCTGGAATCGATACCAGAATTAATTTATGCGTACCTTTTAGGGTCATTTTTCAATCCGTCCGTTGAGCATATCTACCATGCTTTATAGGGAAGTCCCCCCCACCCCGGTGGTTTCAAGCCTAAGTATGCATTTATAGAGCAGCGCAAAGCATAATTAATGACAGAGTCAGTGGCGGTGGCGGTGGCGGTGGCCCTTGGTGATGGTGATGGTGAAATTATATATTTGCCCTTAACTGAATTGACCAAAGCTAGATTTACTTCTTATTGTGAGTAGGTGAGCCGATGAGGTCTGTTCTTCTAAATAAATAACTGTTCTTATACATTTTTTTTCATGGAAAAGGGAATTTGAACTAGAATTTTGACAAGCAACTGTGGTGACCTTCCAGACTGGTAAAAACTCTCCCTTCGGCTCGCTAAAGCACTTGAGTATTTAAAAGATATTTATGATTTTCCTTCCTACAACGGACGTAAATAGTTTCCAGGGAAAAATTCTTTGCACCTATATTCCTCTCCTGGAATAAAGAAAAATTATTGTAATTTTGCTGGCAAACAGTGACTTACAGCTGGCTGGGACATAAGAACAGATATATTTCTCCCAGGAAACCGTCAGCTCCTCTTGTGTGAGTTTCCAGCTACATGAACTAGGCAGCTTAACAGATGTTAATGATTACGAGGCAATTTTGTTTGTGGACGTAAACATATTTCATAAGTACCTTTTTCTATAATTCACAGGAATAAACAAGTTTGCAAAATGTAAGAAGAAACCTATAAGGGTCTTGAAACGCGTAACGCCCGTACATTTCTTTAGTATCAAAGCTCATTAAAAATTCGAAAACGAACATTTTGACCATTTGGAAAATTCGGCACTTGGATAACAGATTCTTAAAGGCCCGTTCTGGTTGGATAGGGTAAATTGGATTGTTCCAAATAAGGAAATGAGATGCAATACTGTAATATTTGCAAAAATGTTGTAAGAAAAAATGTATTTATTCACATGTTACAGGGCCAAGTGATCCATGTCCAAACTCAACAAGGCCCACAAGCATACATCATGACACAAGGTGCAAATGGGGTTCCTGTGGCAGTACCTGCTATGGTACCAGGCCAGCTTCAAATGTCTGCTGTACCAGACCCTGAAGTGAGTAATGGAATTTCTTTATGAGTTCAAATTGATAGTTGCTAAATTTATTTGAAATCATAAAATTTGTCAGGGGGTCTTCCAATAACTCATAGAGTGATTTAGTGAAACTGTGAAAAACTTAGTTAACTAAATAACTATTTAGATAAATTAGTAAAATTTAGATAAATTAGTAAAAGCGCGCCAAAGCAATCGTCGAGAAAATCAGGGGGAAGCTGTATTTAGGTGGCTTTGTTTTCCCGGGGCTGCAAACATTAAAAAACCGGCAAAGTTTTGTGAAATGCACCGTAATTAATTTCCAAGCTTGCGTTGAACAGTCTTTAACGGTCATATAATCTAGATCTGTTCTTCCATTGAAGCTCTTAGAAAATGTAAAGCAAGACTGTGTGCTCGTGTTAAATAGCGATGTTGTTCATGGTCGTTCGTGTAGAAGGAGTTGAATAAACGTAGGCGGCACGAGAAGGCGCATTTCATTTTAATTCTTTTTCTCTATGGTAAAAAAATACGCGGATTTGTTTATACTAATTGATGCTTTGATATATGCATGCATTTTAATAGTTTTACACCAGTAGGGGTTTGAGATGCAGCTCTGTTTTCCTATAATGTACTACTCAATTGAAACCCCCGCCCCCCGATCCCCGGGGAATAAAGGGGAGTTTAACGTTTGAGTGGTGTTAAGATAGGATATTTCCCCCGGTAGTTGGGGTCACATTCATTGTTCAAATCATCGCTAGTGTTGCCCCGCTGTTTTGGTAGTAGTAAATAATCAAGCCGCCAATGGCAACACAACTCGAAGATTGATTGTGCAGACGAATACAGAAAGATATAATGATGAATCAAATTATAATTACTTAACGAATAGAATTTTAAATAAACGATTTATGAATATAGTTTTATAATTTAACTTCGGTTCTGGATAAACACAAGCGAGCGCCGGTGAGATGAATACCACTCGAGCGACAACTATGAGTAAATGCTGCCACGACCAGAAGCGCTACATCTGGATCCGAAAAACAAATAAAATCACCGCAAGTGTCAAAAAACAATAACAACTAAATCCCTAAGAAAACTTGGAGTTCAATTATTAAGCAAACAATATAAATTTCAATGTTGGTGGGCGAAAAAAAATTGAGTTTGCCTAATAAAAATTATTCGCAAGGAAAACCAGAATACCAGAGCAAAGGTGAAGCAAATCGACGAATACTAGTGATCACATGATCACGTGGGCTTCCAACATAAAGAGCTTAAAGTTACATTATGGCTTCATTTCTCCACATTCATTACTGATGAAATTACCCAAAAACTACTAAGTTTGACTTTTGTTTTAGCCACAAATATGTAAAATTTGCGATCTTTGGGTAAATGCTGCCACGTCTAGTAGCGCTACATCTGGCAGCGAAAGACGCAAAAAAATCACCGCAAGTGTCAAAAACCAATAATAACAATCGATGTCGCTAGTCCAATTAAATCAAACAATATAAACTTCAACAAACAGCCAAATAGATATTTACTTAAATTGGATCATCAAAGAATTTGTGGTTTAACCGTATCAACGATTACAATTGGTACGGTCAATAGACAAAAGATGTTTCATTGAAAGTTTAGTGTGGTTTTAGTGTGTCAAAAAACAATTTTGTTTAAAAAGCAAAATCACATGTTAGTACCATGAAACAGTCAAATAGTATCCGCTTTAACAATTAAGGCTAAAGGGACAATTTCTTTTAAAAACGCGTCACGTCCCCGTTCAGTGCCCCGCTGGCCCCGGGGGTCGGGGGTTTCAATTGACTAGTGCATAAATAAACAAATGATGCATATATCCCATATTCTTTTTAACTAATGGAGCTACCTTAAAGCTGTCAGGTGTGTCTGTCAATTACTCCTGCCCTCAGAATATGATGACTGACCATGATGACCATGATTTGTGGTGCCAATTAGTGACAGTGCAGCAAAGTCATGTCGATTAATGGTAATTTATGATATAAATATGATATAATATGATTTTAGGCCATGTACCCATCGCCTGCTGGTGCTCAAGGGGGTGGTGCTCAAGGGGGTAGTACCCATGATGTCCACAAGGCACCTTATTTTCAAACTGAAAGTACACGTCCAGCTTACCTAGCTTGAAATGCATGCCATGCGTGATGTGTTGCATAAATGCCACTTGTTGAATAGCATTATGCATATGCAATGCATTATGTAGCAACTGAGCCAAGCTCAATATGTTAGAGAACAAACATTAAATGTGTGCAACTCTTTTCACTATTTATTACAAAATAGTGTTAATTAAACAATAGAAAACAATAGAATTAGCATAATTTAGCAGTATTTATTTAGTGGTATTTATGTTGCACAGTTTTAGTGTTTGTACTATAAGAAATAATATTATTACTCTTAGAGTGCTCGCACTAAATGCGTGAAATATAAATACTACAAAATAGGTGATAAATTATACAAATTTCTTTGTTTCCTATTGTATAATCAACACTATTTAGTATTAATTAGTACTATTTGTTTCAACTCTATGATGTAAATTAGCACATGATGAAATGTGCCTAAATAAAATTAATCTGTAAAGCGATTTTTGTGAAAGTTTTTTACAATTTATAAGCTCGTTCACCGATATATAAGATTCATATTTCCATCAATCATTGTTCATGATAGGTCCTTTTAGTATGTAGTTTCTATTTTAATCTTGTTATTTCTATTTTGAGAAAATGAGGTTTTTCGTAGTGTTTTCTGTGTTGTCGCTGTAAATCGCCAGGCGCTCTGTTTACAGATTTCAAGACGCAAGCGCCCACTGGCGGGAAAGCTGTTGGCATGCGCAGTGCGTTTTTCACCAGTGTCCGCTACGCTTACTCGTGACAGACTTTTTCAGCACTTGAAGATAAAATCCGTATCTCAGCACGCCCATGTAATTTCCTCTATAAATTATAATACACAAGTGTATAGTACTGGTTTAGTAACTTTCTTAGGATGACTACGGATCAGGGGAGGATAGGATCGAGGCTGTTTTTCCTGCTCGAAGTCAAAATTCTGGAAATCGCATTTTCTATCAGGTTCAAAATTTTAATAATGCTCTGCGGTCGCTGCGTATAGTATAATGATTTCTACTTGGTTTCGCTATTCATTTATTACTTGTATTTTTTGTTACAGAAAAAAACTTTATTACATGTAAATTAAATAGAAGTTTATACTATATTTAAGCCAAGAAAAATGTTTAAAAAGGAGTAAAAATTTTGCAAAATAGCAAAATTGGAAAGTGAAAAAACCTAGGACACTATGTCGCAAGCATTGACCGAATTTTTAAATAGTTTCCGTTTTTCCGCAAGGTGAATCTAATAACTGAAATTTTCATGTCAAGCAGTGTAACCATAACCCCTTTCGGTCATACAGTTTAAGTTGGACGTTCTTCGTGACAACGTTTCTTAAAATAGGTGTACACAGTTAAGTGCGAAGAGTACTATGAAGCAAAGCGAGACAGCATCACTTTATTTGTACATACATTTTAGGTGATGCGGAACTGCGAAGAGTCAAATGAAGCGAATCGAGACAGCAAGCAGACAATTTCAACTTTTACATATACTTTTGGTAAACAACATATTTTTCTACGTAGCTTTATTGACGTTTCTTTAGCATTCTTCTTTCTCCGCGATGTCACGTGTTAATAGCCTTAACTGCACACGATATTCTGCTATCGCACAATTCCTTCTTGGTGTTTTGATCGTTGTATTTGGTGTCATTGTCGCTGTTGGTATTCTGCACATCGACGTTCATGCAATAATTGTTGCATGTACAGGATTTTGGGTAAGTATATATGATGTTTTTGGTCGATTTTAATGACAAAGCCATTACACGGATACTTGATGAAATACATTCTTTCGTTTTAAGGAAGCTATAAAAAGTATTTAGTGAAAAAAAGGAAGTTAGTGATTGATCGAGACAACAAAAACAAAGAATTATAGGATTATGTCAAACAATGCAATTCGTTTTCTTTGTATTGCCTGCCTCTCTTCGTTATTTCATCAAATCACAATCTTTGTTCTAACAGTAGAGTCATCACACTTGCACCGTGAAACAAAATCAAAGAAGTAGTAACTATTAGTTTTTATTTACTGACTATTTGTATCTAACAGTAGATATCACTGAACCAAAACAATTCTTAAAAACAAAAGGTAATACACAAGAGACTTGGAAGCCTAACAACTTTATTAAAAGCTACCTAATGAAGAAGGAGGAATTTGTTAAAAAATGTCCCACCCACAAGGAAAGAAATAAAGAGCTAGTTTTGTTCTTTGTTAAACCCAGAGGAAAGATGTCGGGAAGGGCTAGAGCTTGTGTTAAATATAGTCTTCATCCTTCATGGAACTCGAGTTTATTGAAAGGCCATAAAAAGAATTGCCCTATATTGTTGATTATAGGGTGAAAGTGAAATAGATAGCTATAGTAACTAACTTTATAACTGTAACGAGTGCTGCTGGAAATAATGATTTGGTAACTAATGCCCCATGCTCAAAAGGTACGTATCTCACAAACACATTTCCGAAATGATTAATAAAATTTCTTGTGTTTTATTTTGAGCTTCAAGCAAAGGATAAGTTTAAAACGTCGCCGCTGGTTGTTGTCAAGTCGCTTTTTTATATTGACTAGTCAAATAACTCAGCTTTGAGCGATAGAATTCGTTCGAAACCACGTTGTTTATATATTTTTGCGGGTCATTTCAGTGCGTCTTGTCTTGATTTTTAGTTCAGGCTCTTATAATAAACTCGTTAGAAAACACGTTCATTTGCGTAGTGGGTTTGATATTACAGTTTTTTCAATTTAGCCTTGTAATGTCTTCTGTCATAATTTTGCTGCAGCGCAGAGAATAAAGATTCCAAACGCGTTTCATTTAGTCTTGTGTGGTTATTTTAGCTTTAGATTTGTCTTGTGTCTTGATTTTAACTATTCTACAGCAGCGCAAATAAATAAAGATTCGTTAAACGCGCTCCCTAGTGTATTGTGTGGTTATTTTAGATCTAGATGTGTCTTTTGTCTTGATTGTACATGAAATAAAGATGGCAGTTGTCAAGTCTCTTGTGTATTGCCTTTTGTTTTCATGAACTGTGTTCTGGTTCAGTAATATCTACTATTAGTCAATAAATAGACACTAATATTTACTGTTTATTTTGATCATATTTCACGGTGCAAGTGTTATGACTCTAGTGTAAAACTTGATGTTTGAGAATGATGTTTACATTGTTTTCTCGATAATTATGTGCTATTTAATTATAATTCGTAAATTCGTTCATKTGGCGTTTATTTTGCTTTCCGCAGCTGGGTTCACTCAATTTCGTCGCTAAATTCGCAATACAATCACCTTTCGTGGTTCCAAAATCGGCTTTTATGGCTCTTGGTCAGTTTTATAATACCGTTTTATACACTACCGTTTTCCTGGAGGTTTCCTCCTTTGATATTTTCCTTTTGCATTTTTCGTATTGCTGCTTACGTCATGTTTTTTTCTGGCGTCGTTAAAAACGTCAAAGCAAAAGCCAATAAAAACGAAAAAGAACTACTAAAGAGAAGCATCTACTAGAGCAAACGCAGGAAAACCATGAAATAAAATCAAACTAAATACTAACAAATTGCGACTATTTATAGACAAAATTGTCAGTATCAATGAGCAGAGAACACAATGAAGATGAATCCATATGGGACCCGGCATTTTTTATTCATATTCATTGCGTTCTGGTTCATTGATACTGACAAATTCTCTATAAATAGCCGCTATTTGTTAGTATTTAGTTTGATTTTATTTCATGGTTTTCCTGTGTTTTCTCTAGTAAAGAAGAGAAAACTCTGAAACCAGTCAGTGTAACGCTACACAAGGACGTACACAGCTACTTCAGAAAACGTCGAATTGATCATTTTCAACCATTCCCATGACTGAGATTCAAAAGATAATAGACCGCCGGCCATGTTGTAGGAATGAACAATAGAAATAGTGAAGTTCCTCCAAGATGGACGATGTGATATAACTTGAAAACGAAGAATACTAAGTTATATATGGTGGAGCAAACGCAGGATATTGTGGTCTTGTAACACTTCTATGATCATCACATTAGCTGCACAAATTTAGCACAGGGCGTCCAATATTCTTTTATTTCTTCGTAGCTCGTTATCACTGGAATAATTGGTTTTCGGGGATCTTTGCAAACCAGCGCTAACAATGGTAGAGTATCTTCTGCATTGGTAAATCAGGATATCTTTTATGGGAGAATAAAGGGGGGCCCCTCCCCTCCCCTCCCACTCTCTCTCCAGTCAAAGTCAACATTTCAGCAAAAGAAATCTTACCTTTTGTAGAGATAAGCAAGTGAGGTTTCAAGATTGAGGTTTTTTAGTGTGCTTATTGCCTATCAAGCCTCTCGCCCTTATTTCCTCCCCCCCCCCAAACCAACCCCCACCTTCACCCAAACCAACCCCCACCCAAACGACAAATCCTTCAGTGTTTACGTACTGATGAATCTCAAGGTTATGTATCATAACTCTTTCCTTTTCTTTTAGATTGGAATCTACATCTGTTTTAGCACGATCTGTACTGTTGTTGTTGGCTGCTGCGCTATCATCCTCTGGCCGGTTTGTTTAACTTAAGAAAGCATTTTCAATTAAATAATTTTTGAAGTTTTATGATAAAATCATTATTATTGTATTTGTGTATTATGCAAAAAAAAAGTATACATTCATAATTAAACAGTGTACATATTTAAACTCTTTTTCAAATAAACATTTTTTTATATATCTTTTTTGATATCTTTTTTCATAAATTATTTTTATAATAGTATTGAATTTTTCTATATTCAATTTTGTAAAGCGCATCAGAACCTGGTGGATATTTCGCGCTATATAAATACTATTTATTATTATTATTATTATTATTATTATTATTATTATTATTATTATTATTATCATTATTATTATTATTATTATTATTATTATTATTATTATTTAAAAAAGGGCTAAATGGGCTTTATTTGTTATGAACAAAATTGAAAATAATAAGAACGTTTATGCCTAGGAGGGGGGGCCCTTATGATCACTTTTTATTATTGAGTGATCAAGTAGCCGATTTACTCAGAACAAATGCTGATCTAGATGTCATATGGAACACACTAGGCATGCTCAAATCAATTCCCTATGCGTGTCATTGCAGTTACTATGGATACTCTTCTGTATTGAGGCCCCTGTTGTTATATTGGCTTCCATCTGTGGTTTTTTCACAATCAATGGAGGGTGCCGCTGCTGCTATAGACCCACAACGACAATATTGATGCAACAACAACCTGCACAGATGGTACAGTCTTAGGAGACTACCTTGGGGACTGTTCGTTTATCATTGTCAGCATGGGGTGGTGTTTAAATTCTTTAAAACAGCAAGCCTAAAATGCGCATTCTAGATAATATCTAAAACCAAAAAAGCCGCCTCCTCAATATGTTTCTTCTGCAAAAATATCGAAGAAAATTGTATTAAGAGGCCATTCTCAAAAATACACCCCCCTGCCTAAACACCAACCCGCACCCCCCCCTCTTGGCAATAGTGAACAGTCCCTTAATCTTACTTAACTGTACCYGATTTTCGGGTACATGTCCCTAAACTTATCATGATGGTGAACTATAAAACCTCAACGGAATAAACTTTACATCGGAAAAAAATTAAAGTATGTTATTTATACATCAGTTAATTGACACTATATACGTACTGTCCCCGGGCAATGCCRGGATTGAAATTAACATTTCAACAATATTAATRTCTCGGCATTTCCCGACCCTTATATCGTTCAATTCAGGTTTCACGACGTGTTTAGCATGAAATAACCGTCTCTTTGGGTTATGATTTCAGCCAATCAGCACGCAAATTACAATTGAGGTGTAAGATTCTAAACCAAATACCCATAGGTACTCTTTTCTTGCCCATTGTCTTGTCAGGCATAACCACCACTGATCAAATTATAAATATGTTAATCCTTATACAGGGTCATAATCAAATACTCTATATCCAAACTGAATCTGGCCCACAAGYTTACATTGTTACCCAAGGTGCTAATGGAGTTCCTGTGGCAGTCCCTGCTTTGGCACCAGGCCAAGACCAGATGTATGTAAATGCATCTCAGGTGTGTAATATATGGCTTTGTCCCRTGGGGGAGAGGGGTCACTTGTAAATATATGGAATAATTATGTTCTATAATTTGACTATAATTAGGATACCAATCCACCACCTCCATATTCTGCTACAATAGAGGGCGATGATCAAGGAAGTATTTCCTCTGATGCTCAGGCACCACCTTCATACGAGACTATAAGAGTTGATATGCCTCCAGTTAACCAAGAATATACTGCTACTACAGAGGGTGGTGATCAAGGAGGTAGTACCCATGATGCTCAGGCACCTCCTTCATACGAGACTATAAGAGTTGATATGCCTCCAGTTAACCAAGAATATACTGCTACTACAGAGGGTGGTGATCAAGGGGGTAGTACCCCTGATGCTCAGGCACCTCCTCCACACGAGACTATAAGAGTTGATATGTCTCCAGTTAACCAAGGATATACTGCGGGTAGAGAGGGTGGTGATCAAGGGGGTAGTACCCATGATGCTCTGGAAGCTCCATACTACACTTTAAGAGTTGACATGCCTCAAGTTAACCAAGGATATATTAATGACACAGTGGTTGGTGATCAAGGGGGTAGTACCCATGATGCTCTCGTCCTCCAGACGAGACTATAAGCAGCAACTTGCCTCCTGTTTACCAAGAATATAGCGAAACTAAAGATGCTGCCGTTCAAGGAGGAAGTACCCATGATGCTCAGGCTCATCACTCAAGACTATAAGCCAGAATACTCCTTTAGTTACTACTTAATGCTTAGTCTCCTTCCCAGACTCCCCTTTTGTCGGGCCAGGAAGCCCTAAGGAGACTATTTAATACTATAACCAGTGCTAAGGCCCCTACTTAACAGTAGTATGTATTTGATATGTTTTGTAAGCTACTATTATAAGGCCCAAGCACACAGAAAATGCAAGCTCAATGACATTTGTACTAAATTTAGATAAATAATTAATATAACTAATAATTAATAATTTAATTACAATAATTCATTATTGATAAAGGAAATGTTTGAAAATGTTATATTATATGAATTACACATGACATGTGTATCTGCTGGTCAGTAAATTTCAATGTTATAAATGTATGTGGTTCATATAGCTGAGTATCATGAGTAAACTAATCATAAAGATTCTGCATGTCCGAAGAAATGCCAGACACTGCATCTGGATTTTTTCAAATGCTATGGTGATAGAACATGCAAGCACAATTTTTTCAAAGTTAGGTTTTACCCGAGCATCTCGGCCATTTCCCCACGAGTTGGAGTAGAGGTTGTCGTACGACTTCCATATATGGATGTCCACATGCATGGTTCTGATGTACCTATAGAAGGCTCTCATGTCCCTATAGATGGTTCATTAATTATATATTCAATATTATGTACATATGTGTGGTTATTCATGCATGCCGTTGCATAAATTAATATCATAAAAATTCAGATTCACTCAAGAAAATTGGTCTCATGGCTCACTTGTTAGTTTTAGGAAAAATATCGGGTTAGGCAATGCATAGCGCTGGTTCGAATCTTAATACTCGTCCTTAAGTTCTTCTCCACGTAATTGAGACATCAGAGACTTCCACGAGCAGATCAGCGCCTTCTATGTGCACATCAGCGCCATACATGCACAGCCATATATGGAAGTCGTATGACAAACTCTTCCCACCAGTTTACATTGACTGTGGCAGTACCTGTTATGGCCCCAGGCCAAGATCAGATGTCCCATACAGATGCTCCCCAGGTGTGTATATGGGGAAGGAGATACTTGTGAATATATGGAATAATTATGTACTTTAAATTGACTATAATTAGGATATCAACCCACAACCTCAATATACTGCTACTACAGATGGTGATGATCAAGGAGGTAGTACCCATGATGCTCAGGCACCTCCTTCATACGAGACTTTTAAGAGTTGATATGCCTCCAGTTAACCAAGGATATACTGCTACTACAGACATGGACCGCGGAGCAGGGGGGGCTGGGGGGCTACAGCCACCCCAATAATTTTTCCGACATTTTTAATTTTCTTAAATAAAGAAGTGAATAGCCTCCTTATGAAATTTCACCATATATATTCTATAAAAATTGTTCAAAAACTGAGCGTGAACAATTAAAATTCAAGCTTTTTGGGGATTTATTGATTACATCGCTGAACGTGAGTGCGGTAAAAATTGATAACGCCTCAAAACGCTGGAAATGACATTTCCAAGAAGATTTCAAAAAATTTCCGAGCCCCCCATAATACCTCCTAGCCGCTAGCCCCCCCAATCAAATTTACGCTCCGCGGTCCTGGACAGAGGGTGGTGATAAAGATCAAGAGACAATAAGCAGTGACTTGCCTGCTGTTTACCAAGAATTAATATTTAATACTGAAGCTACAGATGCTGTTGTTCAATGGGGTAGTACCTGTGAAGCTCAGGCTCCTCCAGTCAGAATACAAGCAGTGACTTGCCTGCTGCTTACCAAGAATTAATATTTAATACTGAAAATACAGAATAAAGAGTTGATATGCCTCCAGTTAACCCTGCTTCATGTTTGAACTTTTATTTTAATTGTAACTGCGTGACATGCTTGCAGGTAGTGTACAAAGTAAATAATTCGTTTATAAATTCTTGAAATAGATGCGATTTTATGTGACTATACAACAAGCAGCATGGACAAGGCACTTCAACTGGTAATGACATCAAAACACCATCAAAACACAGAAATATCTTCTGCCAATGATGCTCTTTGCACAATCATACAAAATGTACTCATTTACTTTAAGTTTCCAATGTTAAATACATTAACAAGCACTGTTCTTCATTCTGCGGAAGTCACCTTCCTGAAACAATTACAATCGCCGAGAAATATTTGATTGAAAATGAGCTATTTTGGGTCCTGAACTTGGGCACAACATTGATAAAAAAGTAGTTTATTCTACTTTCTTGACTTTTTTCTTGTTTGCAGTCTTCTTTTCCTGGACAATTTCACTACTTGTTGCTGCTCCTAMGAAAAAAATGTTCATATATTACAGAATGAATGAATATTACATGCCGCAATGTGTATAGCTTTTAGAAACTTTTGAGAAAAGAATCTTTATGTAATATATAAAACATGAGCGGGAGACCTTTATGGGCATTTAAAACTGCAAGCTGCAAGAGAGAAGTTTTTATAGCCCATAAAGGTCGGACGCAAATATTTTATATTGCTTATCAAATTCCAACATTAGGTAAAGCATATTTCGAAAAAAACTTCAGGATAAAATATCATTTGTAAGAGAAAATCGAAGTTAAAGTCGTATGCAAATTAGGTCAAGGACAAATCTCTTGCTCATATAAAGATGCGGTCACGGCAATGATTTTCCACTGTGTTTACCTTATGAATAATTATTAATGAATTTGATAAATGTTATCAATGCAATGGTATGGCATAGCCTCCTTCGTAGTCTACTCCTTAAGGAAACAGATTTTTCTCTCCTTGGTCTTCCTGTGTTGATTTATTCTGACCGAAACAAACTGGTGCCAAGAACAACTTCCTAACCCCTCCTCCCTCTGGCCGATTTTCTGCCTTAACACAGGAATTCCACAGAATAGAGTTGCCTTTGAAGGAGGCTATTGCAGGTAAGGTAGGTCTTACCTCCCCATATTGCAACAGTCATCCATTTACCAATCATATAGAACAAGGCTAAAATAGTAGCACAAACGGTAAAGAAAGACAAGCGAGCATAGGTTTCCATGACACGGAGGAACGGATAAACCCAGTAATTCATTGTATTTGCAATGTAAAACAACCTAAAAAAGAATAAAAATTGCATTCAATTTAAGTTTTGCAAATATTTTTCATTTGCAATATGTCACAGCAGCCATCTTTGAACTTTAACAAAGGATTTCTCATCTATCATTCAGCTGGAACAGCTTTAGTAACAATAGCAAATACACAAGGGAAACCATGTTTTTAAAGTCTTAAAGGGACACTGTCAATTGTACGCATGCGCAAGTAAACTTGAAAAGATTAGGCTAATGTTTTCAAGTTTATGACTCCAAGTTGGCGCGACGCATGACAAAAAAAGTACTCGTAAACGTAAACAGATCTAGAATATTCCAAAAGTGTGTCAAAACATTGATTTACCTCGAAGGTAATACTTTCAAAGTCCGTTAGAGGCAAGACTGTTACTGCGCATGTCATCCATTGACAGTGTCCCTTTAACAATAATTGAAAATGAAGGACAATGTAGTGTAAGCACTCTAATATGCTGAACTCCAAAGCAATATATATTTGTTTTACAACATGGAAAAGATCATAGTGCACCTGGCAATCAAAACTACTTCAAAACTCCTTCCTCAAAGCCAAAGGAATTTCAAGCATTCAGAGATGAGATGTTTCTATAACTGTTTCCAGGGCTTATTACAGTGAATCTCCCCAGTACTACTCCCCCCCTAGCTAACCCCTGACTATCCATACTTACCATGATATGTAGACAACACCAAAACTAAGCATAAGTGTGATTCCTACTCTATTTCTTGGATAATCATGACAATTTATAGCAGCTTCCAAGATGGCGGCAACAGCACACCATGTATGCTATAAGGAAATATTATATAAGTAAGAAATGATCATCACCGTAACATATCAACAATCTAGAATCCTACTTTGCAATCTATGTGCAATAGTCTCCTTTATGGTTCCCTGCGCCATCTTGAAAGGTAGACGTAACTTTACATAGAAGTGAGACAATTGTTGAGCGTGCAATACTAGATACCTGTGAATAATTGTCTGTAGGTGTGAAGGAAAGTTTCTATTATTACATGCTCAATGGTTGTCTTGCTTTGATGCAAAGGTACGGCTAGCTTTCAAGATGGCGCAGGCAACYGTGAAGAAGAGCATTGTTAGTAATAAATTGATAGCCTGAAAATAGTTTGATCTTCAAGAGAAYTGAACACATATGACATCTGCGATGCCAGTGCAGTACTCTTTGAGCTTACTGAAGCTGGCAAAGTTGGCGACAGTAATTTCATTGGGCGAATCCAACCGTTTTTTGGGAGATCACTATAGTATTTTTTCTTATCCTGGAAGAGAGAGATAACTTTGAAAGCTTGAAAGCCCCAGAAAGTACACAGCATTTGCTTTTCTCATAACAACCTTTAACAACTTTTATTTAAAGTAGAATATGTCACATTTACATACCAAGGCATGGTTGATCCAGTTTGGAATAATGGCATCCAAGAGTTTAGGRAAAATCAGTTCACGGTCAATAGAATAAATACCCCAGAAAGAAGTAGCAACAAACTGAAAAAGAAAAGTCTTTGTTTAATATATTATATTATATATAATGAATTTGTGTTATTATGTCAAAAGGTTAAATTTAATGAAGTTAATGCAACTCATCTTTATTCTAGTCTTTACCAGCACATGTGTGACCCTGTAAACTGGGCAGCCTTACAATATTACAGGGATCCCGAGGGGAGGGGTGAACAACAATTTTGTGATATAAGCATCAACAGAAGAAAATAGTGGATAGCCTTGTAGCTCCTTTCTGATCTCTCTAGGAACAGGCCTATAGGTATGCCTCCATTGATGAAAAACAAATTTTGTTTTTGGTGAGGCTGGGTGTCTGAGGAACCCCTTTGTACTCCAAATAGTGGCCATATCATAAGGCAAAACAGAGCAAAACCAAATAAATTTAGATTTCTGATTCTGCTTACGTTTCACTCGAGTTTTAATGCTGCCCAAGTTTTCACTGCATTGTAAATAAAACTGTCATGCTTGCATGTTACATTATTTCATTGGGTGGAGTGACTTTTAAGGTAAAAAGATCTCAGACAGTCTCCTGTCACAGATGGAAGCCCGTAGGGTAGGCTGCAAAGGTTACTAGGATGAAACTGCTTTGTAAAAATACATGTAAATTGACTCAAAATAGAATATATCTAGGAGTGCTTAAAAGTAAAATAATGTTACACTTACAACACCATAAGGAAAGGCAAATGATGCAAAGAATGTATCTCTAATTGTCAAAAGAGTCTTGCTTTCTTGACCTCTGATCAAAGCAATGATGTCCATCAAAGAAGCCAATACAAAGTAACATAATTGAAACACCTGCAAAGAAAAAAAAACAAACAATGATACTCATTAATAGAACAACAGGGACTTAAACTCTAGTCTAAAATAAACCACAATTAAAACAACGTTTTGAACAGTTACTAAAAAYAATTCATAAAGAAATATTGTCGCCCTTATGCAATCAATGTTGAACCGGTCTGAACAGAACTCGGCRATRTTTCTCTCACCAAATCTAAAAATGTCAGATATTTCCATCGCCAACCAAATTSCATAACGCCAGGCGTAAAAATCTGTAAATCGACGTACATTACTATGGTATAATATACCGCAAAACCTAAATGGAGCACTACTCCCAATGTATGCATCGCCATCTTGACGACAAAAGCGAAAGGTGCAACAAAGAATGTCCCTGAGGTCACGCAGTYAGTAGCAGGTATTTCGAATGTCACGCAATAACTATTTTTTACCACATCGCCTAGATGCAGTAGATGTTATCTTAGATTTGTCTAAAATTGTTTATTAAGTTTTTAATCAATATTTCTGTAGTGCAGCTTTAATTCTATCGACCAAACGGATCAAAACCTTGCCAATGGACTCCCATGGAGATAGATTCGACAGCAAAAAAATTGAAWGTRTCTTACCAAACAATAATGAGTGAGATATTTCCATCGACCAAAACGCTTATGTACAGGATCTGTCTCTAGTTGCAAATTATAGTACATAACTACGCCGTAAAATACGGCAAAAACGATTCGAAAAAGTCCTCCAAGACGTCGCGCCATTTTGTTTGGTTATGCGAAAGAGACTGGGGAGGAAAAGTTGTTGAGCGGGAAAAGTTCGGAAAAATCATAACAGTCACCTCAACAACAGGCTCACCACAAAAATGTAATTTCAAGCTGCGCACAAATTAAATAAAATGCAGTTTCTAAAGTGTATATTTTAGCTAGATTTACACCAATCGAAAATTGCCTCTGACTTCTGCATTGTCACATGGCGACATTAAAATCAGCATTTGAAGGTTTTACTCTTACCAAACATATGTTTGTTAAATATTTCCATCGACCAAAACGCATGCGAATACCAGTCGTCTCGATTTTTAAATCATGGTACATAACTACGCCGAAAAATACGGCAAAAATAACATGAAAAAGTCCTCCGACCGCACTTGGCGCCATTTTGCTCTTGTGTGTAAAAGAGACTGGGGACGACTGAATTGTTGAGCGGGAAAAATATCAACAAACAGCCAAACTAAACATTGCTATTTTTCGGAATGAAAACTGTCAACAAATTTGAATTACATGTTATGTAAATATTGTAATTTAAGGTTTCATTCTGGCCCGATTATAACAAGAATCAAAAGAATCACAAGCTAGCAAAACTTGCAGTGAAATAACGACCTTCCAAAGCAGAAACTCATAAGGGGATTATGAGTTTCTGTCCAAAGTCAACTCACCAAATTCCATTGAGGAAAGTATTTCCATTTTCCTAAGGGGCCCAATTCAAAAGGWGTTGACTCATTCCTGTATTCTAAAAAAATAAATAGAAAAAACGCCGCTCCTGCGAAATGCACGGATCGACCGTACTTTCTCATCTTTGGACGGCGCCACGGAGTTCTGATTCGAGACGAAAAGTTTAACACAGGGAACCCGTTAGTATAGGACGGCCATGATTATCATTTTAATTGAGATTTTTTTCTTAATCACCCGGATTTCGGTTGGAAATGAACTCCGATTGTTTTACATTGTAACGCAATACCTACAAAAGTCCAAAAAAGTGAAAAAGTAATAAAAAAACTCAGGAAGTTGTCTGAAGTTGTGGCTGAGCCCGCRGTTGTACCTGTATGCGCAAAACATCTCAAATGAGTAGTGCCTGCGCATTTCAATATGGCGGATTTCCTTCCTTGGAATCCAATCTATCAAAATGACTTTATTTGACACTCAAGAAACTTGTAAATATGATCAAAATAGACTTTGGGCAGAGCCTGAATGACCACAAGGCGCTGCTCATCCTGGTAAGGCCWGTRGGTTATATAGGAGAGAAAACATTCTCACAAATCTTCCAAGAAATAAGTCGGTTCACGCGCGCACAGGTACCAAACACTACAAGAAGTCTTCACTTAAAGTACGCTCAACAAATCCTTCCTCAGTTTATAGAATGGAGCACATTTCATTCTCACAGGAGAGTTCTTGGTCTCATTTGTGTTGCAAAATGCACCGATGTTAAGGAGACTGATAAATTAATTGGGAAAATCAAGGATTTGAAGTCGCAATTCAACTCTACTTTGCTTGATTCACGATGCTTCGTTGTGGGTTGCAAAAGCGACGATCAGGCTACGACMAGGAAAGATTTTATTCTTTTAAACGAGGAAAAGATTTCAGAGGAAATAGAAAAAAACATGGCTGAACTTGTGGCCTCATTGTTTAATGTACTGGAATCTAAAAGGATAAGTAAATCGGCGGAAAAACCTGACAARGTTTCTGCTGTTTTTGCACCAGTTGAGGTTGAACCTTATAGCACAGTGGAGGATACTAGGTAAGTCTCTGTATAATATTTTTGATATTTTATATAAAGGCTTGCAATTAGTTAGACATGATATTCCAGTCTTAAAACTCACAACATTGCAAAACTCATAGTGCCATCACAACTCATGATTTTCACCTTTCATTTGGATATCATTGGGCTGSCCATCATATCTATTGATCATTTAAATAGCCAATCATATTGAGTGTTTAAGTGATCTGCCTTCTTGTATGTGATTGACACCTCAAGCCAAAATAAACCTGAAAATTTGGTTATGTGACAGAATACTGTACTCCTACTATTACGTGGTATTTTGGAGGTCATGTGGAGTTGTGGATACTTTCCAAATCATCACTCTACCCCAGTACAAAACAAAAGATTTTTCCTTTGACTCTTAGGAGTTGCTAGCCTGATTTTCAGACAGGGCTGGGTCCGATGCTAACACTTTGGGAGGAAAGCGTTAGCGTCAGACCCAGGCTGTCTGAATATCAGGCTAAGGAGTTACATGTATAACAATTTCTYTCTCTAAGATGAATTTGCATGAACTGCAAGTTATCTATACCCTATAGAAAGGAAGTGATGTTTTTTTCCCGTTAGCTTGCCCGAGCTGCTAAAATCAAAAATTAATGGAAAACTTTCCTTGAAACATTTATGCTGCAACCACAACAGTTTTACATATTCATCTTGCTAGTCTTATAAAGCACGGTAACCATCACTGCAAGACACAAAATAATACATATTGGATATTATATATATAATATCAAAGAGGCAAGATTTTGCTGTAACTCCGAGTTTTGCAAAATCTTGCCTCTTTGATATTATATATAACTGGCTCTACACTTTATGTGTATTGAGCACTCTTTAATGGGATCAGCTACTTCCTCATACAATCATATTGGATATTAAATAATAATGATAATAATCTGTAAAGGAACGGCAGCTCAAACATGCTTTTTTTAACTCTCCATTCGACAATTATTATCTGGAATTCTCTCACTAAATTGTCTCAGACACTTTATTTTTATGTGCATAATTCAAATTTATTATTAATRTTCATTTTTTAGTTGCCAGAAATATCCCACCAAGGCAACTTATTCTAAAGCTACTAACTACAAATAAAAGTTTACCTTTGTTTTGATTTTGCAGAAATTCCAAAAGGAAAAGTATTGGAAGAAGTCGTAAATAYCTCGGTGACATTAGCATGCTGACTGGGTTGCACCAAGATGCTTTAAACCAATACTCCATGGCTATAGAGCATTTAAGAACAGTTAATGATTTTTTATGGCTTGCTGGAGCCCTCGAAGGACAATGTGCATCATCRATTGCGGYTATAACTTCAAACGAGGGAGATASTACTTCTAGGTTTTTAATACTACCMACTGATTGTGCAGCAAAAACTTCCAATGTCACTAGTAATGGGTTCGGTAATGATATTGATGAAGCAAAGTTCAAAAACACTCCTCCTTTACCRTTTGAAGAAATTTATGAGAGACTCTCTGARGCACTCTTTTTGTATGCACGAATTAAGGGATGTTCKGTAGTGGAAGTTGAAGCTCATCTGAAGCTAACAAGACTTCTTGTATCTCAAAGGGTAAGCTATTTAGTTTATGTGTGGTTTTGTACGTGAAATATCATTATCACAGCCTAGTAGAGTACAAATACTCAATCTCCATGCATAGTTTGTTTCCTATTTTAATCAACACTAATGTACATGTACAAGGCTAGAAATAACGTCTGGACCTACGCAGGACATAATGTTGTTTCAAACACTTTTTTGGAAGGTCATGATTTATTTTTAAAGAAAGGGCTGGTACATGTAAATTCCGATTTGACAGGACATTTAGCAAATTTGGAAGGACATTGACCTCCCCTTATTTCCAGCCCTGCATTTAGGTGTGATATGATCGTCCAGGTGTAAGCTATAAGGTGTACTTTGGGTTTCGTATATGTAATGTCCGCACTCACTCTACGTATACTATTATATTATATGATTGTATGAAACTCAAGTATTAAAAAAGATAGTTGCTCACTTAGATAATTCCTAGTTTGTTTCCTAGAGGGGTTAAAGTGGTTTTCATTGTCTGTAAAATAGTTCATTAATAGTCAGTGTAATATTGTTGGGATTTTTCTTTTAGAAAACTATAGAGGCCAGTTCTGCACTACAGAATGCATTGTCAATTAATGTCCCGGGTATTACTGACCAGGAAAAGGTAATAAAGTTTTAATTACAGTGTCAGTGTATGTATAGTTTAAAACA